GGGCCCAAGTTTGCCCATGCCTGCTCTACAACCTCATGCCTTCCAGATGTGTTGGGCTACAACACCCATAAACCAGCTGTAGGGTGATGATATGATATAGTCCATACCACATCTGGGGTCCACCCCCACCAGGGAAGATTAGTCTAGTGTATGAGAGAGAGAGTGTGGGAGGATTCTGCACAAGCACATAATGGGAGACTTAAAATACACTTGGGGGAAAAAATAGATTCTCAAGCAATTTCTCTTGACCTGAATTTGCCTGCATTTTTTTCCTCATTTATCTTATCTCTCTTTGTATTCTTTAAAATATATATTTTTGTCTATATTAGGTCTCTCCTGGCTACGGCACTGAAGGCACGTGATGCAGCCGCATATTGCGGAAGTTATGAAATTTGGGATTTGGTCAGAGTTCGGATGAGATATCACTTGGGGAACTGGATGCCTTCTTTGCAGCTGTGGCTTCCAGGATGGAAGAACATGTAATAAATAAATAGCTAATATTAGGATGCTTTAAAGCTCTAGTGGTTTTTGAAAGGCAATTTATAAGCAGCATTAAAACTTGGAGAATGGAATGTTTAACGCAACTACATTTAAATACAACTTATAACCTGCAGCATTTAGATCTATCTAAAGAGAGCCAGAGGTATAAGCATTGGATTATGATTCTGGAGAGCAGATTCAAATCTTTGCCATGTAAACTCACTGGGTGACTTTGGGTAAGTCACATTTTCTCAGCCTCAGAGGGAGGCAAGGACAACCCTCTCTGGACTATTGCTGCTATTATATTATTATTATTATTATTATCATTATTATTATTATTATTAGATAAACAACAAGATTAATACACAGCAAACAAGATCACTATACTGGCTTTTGTATTAGATCACACGTTGGATACTTCCCAAGTGTCTAGGACCATGTGATGTATCAGTGAATAACACATGCAGATTCGAGTAGGGTTGCCATTTGCAGCTGACAGATGGTAATTTTGTCAGTGCCAATTGTTTTTAAGTGCAGGCCAAGGTCTTTAGGCCTTCCTCCTGTGTGCTGATCACCACTGGGACCACCTTTACTGGCTCGTGTCAGAGTCTTGCAGTTTGATATTATTATTGTTGTTATTGTTATTTGATACACAACAAGAATAGTACACAGCGAATAGGATCACTATGCTGGCTTTTGTAATCAATCACACGTCGGACACTTCCCAAGTGTCTAGAACTGTGTGATGTATTGGCAAATAATGCATGCAGATCCAAGTAGGGTGGCCTTTTGCAGCTAACAGTAATTTTGTCAGTGCCTATTGTTTTTAAGTGCAGGACAAGGTTATTAGGCACTGCACCCAGTGTGCCGATCACCACAGGGACCACCTTTATTGGCTTGTGCCAGAGTCTTTGCAGTTTGGTATTATTATTATTATTATTATTATTATTATTATTATTATTAGATACATAACAAGATTAGTACATAGCAAACAAGATCACTATGTTGGTTTTGGTATTTGATCACACGTCGGACACTTCCCAAGTTGTTGTTGTTGTTGTTATATAATAATAATAATTATTATTAATATAATGCTACTACTACTACTACTACTACTAATAATAATAATAATAATAATAATAATAATAATGCCAGGTAAGCCCCCTGATAGGGTTACCATAACCTGAAGGCATACAACAATGTTTCCTTCAAACAACCAATTAAATGGTAGCATGAAAAGTTAGGCTCCATTTCTTGAAATTAAGGTGCTAGATTTAAATTTTTGGTTTTCTTGCTTGCTGTTGCTAAATATTTAGATTCAAATGGATTTTCAAGAGGGGACAGAGTTATGTATGTATGCCTGGCTACTTTTGTACCAATGGAGAATAGCATTTATGACAATGTATTTCTTTGTATTGTAAAACAGCTTTATATAGAATGAGAATGAAAGTTTGTGATGAATTTGAAAGCGTGTATTTTCAGGGTTATGGCAGAGCTAGCACTGAGCCATCAGAAGAAACACGGACATTTCTTTATTACCACGCATAATGACATTATCAGTGTGCTTCCCCTTCCATTTTTCCTTGAACTTAAATCCTTACCAGCTAGAGGGGAAATAGCCTTTCCATCAGCAATAACTTGCTGAGAACTATCCTTGTTAAAATGTGAAGTATTTGGGAGTGGTTTGGTCTTGAATGGACCATTAAGAGCCATATACTTTACAAAAGACCTGTTCCTAGCAGAGATGAACACTCTTAAAACTTGGTTTGATTGTGTTTAATAACAAAAATAAGTTTTTGGTGGGTATTTTAAAGATCTTTATTATTATTATTATTATTATTATTATTATTATTATTATATTTATTTATTTGAGTTGGTTTTTACCCTGCTTTTCTACTGTACCAAGGCGAGACTCAAAGCGGAAAATAGCTATCAGGATTGCCAGATGGGAACCTACACTTCGAAATGTATCATTACATCATTGATACTTTGTGGAAGGAGATAGTAAATAAGTAAATAAGACTGTGTATCTGCAAAAATCTCTGTCTGAAGATGAATCTCTCTATTGGTATGAATGTCCAGCTGTATGTGTCCTGACATGACAAGATGTGTCTAATCCTGTTTGTCAGAATGTGTGCATTGTGGCATGATTCCATTGGCTGTGCCGACCTAGGATGATGGGAGTTGTAGTCTAACCCATCTGGAGGGCACTAGTCTGGGGAAAGTTGCAATATGATTGCATGCTTACTTACATATAGGTAAGTTCTATTCTGTTTAGTGGAACTTAATCTGAGGTAAGTGTGTAGGAAGATAGTTTAGGATAGGCTTGGGCAAACTTTGGCCCTCCGGCTGTTAGGAATTGTGGGAGTTGAAGTCCAAAACACCTGGAGGGCCAAAGTTTGCCCAAGCCTGCTCTACAACCTCATGCCTTCCATGGAAGTGTGGACACAGATAATCCAGTTCAAAACAGATATTGTGGATTGTCTTCCTTGATATTCTGGGTTAGAAGGGCCCTAACAATGTGTGACTTGCTCAAAATCACCCAGTGGTTTTCATGACTAAGCAGGGATTCGAACTCTGTTCTCCAAAGTCATATTCCAATGCATAAATAACCATACCATGTTGGTACTCAAATGTATGTATTATGATATACAAAGTATGAATAAAGTGTCTAGAGCATGTTTTCATAACAAGATTATCTTCAAGTAGGTTGGCATATAATGCCCACCCTTTCCCAATATGGTTGGTAGGTGATGGACCCTTCCAAACAGTCTTATATCCCAGAATATCAAGGCAGACAATCCCACAATATCTGCTTTGAACTGGGTTATCTAAGTCCACACTCAGATAATGTGGGATTTTCTGCCTTGATATTCTGGGATATAGGGCTGTGTGGAAAGACTCAATGTCTAAGGATGATGGTAACTGTAGGAAAGAGAAAGCGGTGGTAGCATTTATTTCCTACCTTCAGCACTACTTTCTGCTATTGGGATGGGTTTATTTTATTATTTAAGGCTGCAAACCCATCCAAACTCATTTGGGATTATGCTCCCTCCATTGAATCAAATTAGATTTATATCTGGGTAAATATTTGAGATTAATGGAGCATTGTTATCATTTATGCTCATTGCCGAATTCTTTGGGAGACAAAACAGGCAAAAGCTGGTTTATAAAATGAATGAGTTTGAGTCAATTTATATGTTTTCAAAAAATCATTTAAAAATAACATTTCAATATTTAGGTGTGTGTGTGTGGATAGATAGATAGATAGATAGTTTTTCTACCTCAAAACTAGCCTCAGGCATTTGTTTTCTTTATGAAGGTCTTGGGCTCTTTTAAGCGTTGCTCTTTGTTTCATGACAGCCAAAAGGGCAAGGAACTTGGGGTTGCCATTGTGTGTGAATTTGGGTGAGGTATTATGCAAGCGTAAGCACATGTGCGTGAGAGTGAGCGGTATGCAGAGCGTGCAAGGACAAGGGCCTCTCTGTCCTGTCTGTTGACTTCTTCGAGTTGTTTGTGTTGAAATCTTTCCCTACCTTTGCAGGCAAACTGTGCATGCTAGAACCATGGTTTCTCTCTCTATGCTTTTGTGTTGTGTGTCAGTGTGTCAGCATGTTTGTTTTCCATCCCCATGGGAGTTGTGTTTCTTTCTGTTTCTAATCTCATCCTCCCACAAACCAACCAACTGGTTTTCTGCCTCACTGCACCAGCTAACAAATGGATATTTTGCTCGCACCACACACACACAACACCACAGACACTTACACCGCACAAAGACATGATGACACATACGTGTGCTGCCCGTTAGCTCATTCATGCACCTGTGCCCTGAAGCCCACTGTGGAGCAACCCTGGCTTGTGCGCTCCCTTGGGTGCTCTAGTTTCGCACATACACCAGTTGAAATCAAACACACCACACAAACAACAGACCTCCTGAGTCATAATGTGTCAGTCCCAGTCATCTATAGACAATCTCAATCTCTCTGTGTCACACACAGGTTGCCCACGCACAACCCCACCAGCAGCCTTGGGGATGTTGTAGTGGACACCTTCAAATGGCTATATAGACTGCAGATCCTTCCTTCCTTCCTTCCTTCCTTCCTTCCTTCCTTCCTTCCTTCCTTCCTTCCTTCCTTCCTTCCTTCCTTCCTTCAGGCCCTCTCTCGCTCCTTCACACGCTGCAATGGCACACGGTTGTCTACAAATCCACAGCCCTTCTTCTCCCTCCCATCCAGGCACCCAAAGGCCACCAAAGCCTCAATCTTTGCCAGCGGAAGATGGGAACCCATGTAAACAGACTCACCCACTTAGCATGCAAGTGATCACTGTCCACCCTGAAGATGCTCAAAACTTCTACTCCTTCCTTCCCGTGTCCATCTCTGCCCCGCTTCGGTTGAGCCTAATATAGGGCACCCCACATTCCCCACTTCCAGCCCCATTGCCAGGGAAACAAAGACACACATCAACACACTTCACAAGACCAAGACACAACACCATAGCCACTGAAGGCCCATACTTACCTGCTACAACCAACCCCTTTGGCTTAATATTGTTTGTTTTTTGAGAGAGGAAAGGATGGAAGGAAAAAGGATGAGAAGAGGGTCAGGTGGAGATTTTTTGTGTGTGGGATCTCCCCCACTTCTCTTTCCTCCAAAAAATATGACAAGGAGATGGAAAGGAGGGTAAAAGGATGCTCTCACCACCTGCAAGGGATGGGGAAAGCCCTAGAGGAGGAAAGAAAGGAGAAACAAAAGAGGGGATCGGAGATGGGGATGGGGGGAATGAAGGGGGGATGCAGGAGGTCGATGAACAGGAGTCGGTCTCTCGGTCTGTCCCCCCCACACACCTTGCAAGTCTCTGCTTCCCACCCCCCCACCCTTGGTCTCCGGATGCAGGCTGCGCCTTCTGGTACTGCGGACCCTGCGATGACATCACTGCCTCTTAAGGTGGAATTTTGGGACTTCTGTGCACTTCTGTGGTATTTTTTGGGAGGGGGGTGGAGGAAGGTTTGGGTGAGGAGTTGATGTCGAGGAAGGTCACCTAGGTCCCAGAAACTGCAGCTCAATTGGATGCCCTTTGGGGTCACTCAAGGTAACTGTCCATCTCACCTCTGTGGCTCCATCAAGATGGAAAGGTGATGGAGGAGCAGCACATTTGGGGACATCTGTTGAAGTTGTGTGTGTGTGTGTACACACACACACACACACACAGTAAAGGTAAAGGTTTCCCCCTGACATTAAGTCCAGTCGTGTCCGACTGGGGGTTGGTGCTCATCTCCATTTTTAAGTTGAAGAGCTGCCGTTGTCCATAGACACCTCCAAGGTCATGTAGCTGGCATGACTACATGGAGTTCTGTTATCTTCCTGCTGGAGCAGTACCTATTGATCTACTCACATTTGCATGTTTTTGAAATGCTAGGTTGGCAGAAGCTGGGGCTGACAGTAGAAGCTCACACTGCTCCCCAGATTCGAACCTGAGACCTTTCGGTCAACAAGCTGAGCACCTCTGTGGTTTAACCCACTGTGCTCCTTATACACATACACACACACATATATATTTGGTCTGCAAAAAGCTAGCCATTCAAGCCCCTTCCACACAGCTGAATAAAATCCCATATTTTCTGGTTTGAACTGGAATATATGGCAGTGTGGACTCATATATCCCAGTACAAAGCAGGTATTGTGGGATTTTGTGCCTTGATATTCTGGGATATAGGGCTGTGTGGAAGGGCTCTTGGTTATCTGAGGTCCCTTCCACACAGCTGAATAAAATCCCACGTTTTCTTCTTTGCACTGGAATATATGGCAGTCTGGATTCAGATATCCCAGTACAAAGCAGGTATTGTGGGATTTTGTGCCTTGATATTCTGAATTATATGGCTGTGTGGACGGGCCCTCGGTCAACCCCAGATGAGATGAAACCACAAGTTGGGGAATGGACATTGTTTTTATTCCTAGGCAAGAAGTTAAGAAACATTCCCATCTCCACTTTAAAAATCAAAGAAAAAACCCCAAGGGGAAGTCAAGGCAAAAGGACAGGTAAAGGAGAGAGGATGCGGCCACCTTAAAGACAAGGAGTGATGGGAGACTGAGTTGAGGAAGGGGGGGGGGTCTTGAGTCAGCTGAAAGGAAGGGAGGCAGACAGGAAGATGGGGATGTGATGCTTTGGCTGCAGTGGTAAAGAGTTCCCATTTAGCATGAAATTTACAAAAATATCTCCCAAGTGTGTGGGAGAGGCATGAAAGAAGCCTATATTAAGACAGGTCGGGGAAGGTGGAATTATTTAGCAGGGACCATGGTGTCTTGATTCAGGATGGATTTCCCAAGGGCAGGATTTGAGGGGACAGCCTTGCCTTCCTGCACACAGGCACACAGACACTTTGGTGCTCTTGTTTTCAATGCTTTTGCAGGCAGGGGAGACCTTCTTCTCCTTCCAGACTATAAAAATCCCCAAACCAGACATTGCTGCAAAGGTAATTAGGTCAGCTTGTCCCAGTGGTGCATCCTCTACACACAGTGGACTACAATTCCCATCTGTGCAGATTGGGAACAAAGGATTTTGCTAGCCAACATGTCTGGAAGGTACCTTAGTAGGGAAGGCTCAGGGCCCTTCCACACAGCCATATAAACCAGAATATCAAGGCAGAATATCCCACAATATCTGTTTTGAACTGGGTTATCTGAGTCCACACTGCCATATATTCCAGTTCAAAGCAGAAAATATGGGATTTTATTCAGCTGTGTGGAAAGCCCTTGAGACAGGGTGACATAAGCTGAGCTTTTAAAAGGTACCACTTTTGGACATTATGCATATGGCCATAGATCAGGGTTGGGGGAATTATGTATCCCTGCAGATGTTACTGAATTGCATCTCCTAGCATCCTCCACCATCTGTTATGCTGGCTAATGATGAAGATGCTAGGAGCTGTAATTCAATAACAAGTAGTAAAACTCTAAAATCGGGACTGCAAATAAAGAACAGCTCTCAGAAAACAGGGAGCAGCTAATAATCAAATAATCAGGGCCAGCTAATACCTCCCAACAAAGTATTCCACCAGGCAGGAAGCAGCTAGGCCTTGAAGCTGCAATGCCATTCAATGCTAATCAAGGTTGCTAATTGCAACATTCACACTTGCCTCAAACAGACAAGAGTTCTTTCTCCCACCCTGGGCATCAACAGATATATAAACCTCACTTGCCTAGTTTCTAACAGACCTCACAGCCTCTGAGAATGCCTGCCACAGATGTAGGTGAAACGTCAGGAGAGAATGCTTCTGGAACATGGCCATACAGCCTGGAAAACACAGCAACCCAATTCAATAACTGGGTTGGAGGTTTTTTTGGGCTATAGGGCCATGATCTAGAGGCATTCTCTCCTGACGTTTTGCCTGCATCTATGGCAAGCATCCTCAGAGGTAGTGACCTCACAGACCTCACTACCTCTGAGGATGCTTGCCATAGATGCAGGCGAAACATCAGGAGAGAATGCCTCTAGACCATGGCCATATAGCCCGAAAAAACCTACAACAATCCAGTGATTCCAGCCATGAAAGCTTTCGACAATACAATTCAATAACTGCTGGGAGTTGCAGCCTGACTCATTAGGAAGGTCACACAATTCCCTCCCTTGTGATGGCTGAAACTTTAGTTTTCAAACTATAGCCGCAGTTGCTGTCAACAGGCAAAACAGGTAGTCTTTCTAGTGTCTGATTACAGGAGACCAACCTGTAGGATGTAACAGTATTGGATGGAGGAGCAGGTGTTACACAAGGATGAAATTGGTCTCTTATTCACACTTCCTTATGTCAGTTTTTCTGATATGGCAGGGGTCGTTTCCCAATGTGCCAGGGACAAGCATTATATTTGTGCCCATTGAGTACAACCCTTCCTTCCTTCCTTCCTTCCTTTCCTGGAACCAGTCATAGCACTGTGATTCCACTTTAACTACCATAGTTTCAACCCAAGGAATTCTGAGGTTTGTAGTTCATTGAAGTACTGGAATAATAATAATAATAATAATAATAATAATAATAATAATAATAATAATAGCAATAATGGGTATTATTATTATTATTATTATTATTATTATTATTATTATTATTATTGTACCCCACCACCATTTCCAGGAAGGGACTTGGGATGGCTTACATATTGGACAGAAAGTCCATATAGAGGTTAGAGGGGCCTCTTCTGGGTGTGTTCTAGTTGTGTACTCCTATATGGCAGGATGGGGTCAGAATAGATGGCCTTCATGGGTCCCCTCTAACTCTAGCGGAACATAAAAGCAAAACAATCTATTAAAACAAAAACACCATTAAAATAAGAGCATCATAAAATATTCTAGCTGAGATTTATAAATGCCTCTCCTTAACCTGCCAATCCCAGGATGCCATGGAATGGAACCATGGAAGTTAAAATGCAATCATATTGTTGCAGCTCTGTAGTGTGAATGGCTCTCTGGAAACTGATCATAGACTGGCACCCCATAGTTCACAGATGAGCAGTAATCCATGGTCCTGTGCCATTAATAGCACTTTTTATATGACACATCAGCCTGAAAAAAGAAATTCTGCTGTCATGCCTCTGTCTTCCTTAATATGATTTGGATTACTCTGTATTAAGGTGGACTCTAAATTGTCACATCACTGTTCCTGCAAACCATAACAAATGCGGATAACGATGCAGGATGATGGGAGATGGTGTCTGACAAGGCCTGGAGGGCCACACATTGCCGTGGTTGTTGTATGCATTCAAGTCATTTATGGCAATCCTAAATTGAACCTATCGCATGGGGCTGAGAGAGTGCCACTTGCCCAAGGTCACCCAGTGGGTTTCCATGGCCAAACAGGAAACCCTGTTCTGAAGGTGAGTTGTGTTACAACCCTCATCACTACCTACACAATAAGGGGAATGTAGTCCGACACATCTGGCAGGCAGGCTGTATGACGCAGGCACAGAGAGGCTGCACAACAGTGTTGTTATTTCGCCAATTTCAAAAGCAAGCGTCAATTATTCATATCAAACTTATGCGCCCCACGGATGGTGCGCAGAGTGATTGGCGAATCTCGAGGGAGAGCTGCCGTGTACCGCTGTCAGGCACTGCAGGGACCCACCTGCTATTACAAGACAGCAGCAGAGAGATGTTTTCCGGTGATCAAACAGGGTCTCGCAGAACAAACGAGGCCGTTTAACATTCTGCTGTGTGTGGCTCTTTGCGCCTGCGTCCTGAGTGACAGGTTTTAACTCTCTGTTTTCCTCTGGTGTCTTTCTCTCTGCCCTCGTAGGGCCTTTAGTTTCATAGAATCCTAGAGTTAGATGAGACCATAACAGCAATCCAGTCCAATCCCTAGTCTGCTATACAGGAAGACACAATCAAAGCACTCCCAACAGATGGCCATCCAGCATCTATTTAAAAACCTCCAGAAAAGGAGATTCCATTGCATGCCAAGATAGCATATTCCATTTGTGTACAAAAAAGATGTTGCTGCTGAATTTGTTGACTGAAAGGTTGGCGGTTCAAATCCGAGGAGTGGGATGAGTTCCTTCTGTTAGGCACAGCTTCTGCCAACCTAGCAGTTTGAAAATATGCAAGTATGAGTATATCAATAGGTACCGCTCCGGCAGGAAGGTAACAATGTTCCATGAAGTCATGTTGGCCACATGAACTTGGAGGAGTCTATGGACAACACCAGCTCTTCAGCTTAGAATTGGAGATGAGCACCAAACTCCAGAATTGGACACAACTAGACTTAATGTCATGGGAAACCTTTACCTTTACTATTACTTCCTTATTTAAAAAGTCTCTACAAGCTAGCACATGGTCTAGGAAAGTGGAATACTGAATACATAAACATAAAACCACGATGTTTTTTTTTGGGGAGGG